ATTTCATTTGGCATGTGAGCATATTTATTCACCTTATCTGAAATTAATCACTACATGCCGATAGTGGCTTTCGCTTTCTTTTATGAAGTAATTTGCTCATCCGGGTGTCAGCAGGAGACTTTCCCTTTCCTTGGCTCTCAAAGCGTGTACTACAGATAAAAACGCCACTGTGACTTCAAGTGAGGGGAAAAAAGTACCAGGTACAAAGGCAAGTAGTATATAAAAAGTTGCCTCAGGCATGACTTTCTCCGTTAGCTCACTCCTTTTTGACATCAGGAGCAAAAGCACCACTACTTTACCAAAAGATCTTTCGAAGAACCACCGCGTTTCTTTCAGGGCTGCCTATACCTTCACCAGGACTCTAAAGTAGTCCAGCAGATGAGATCCCATATAAAATGCGTGTGATGCTCCCTCTGTCAGTCATGACTGGATCCATTTGCCTACACTTGACGCTCATCAGATCATCAAAGCGCAAGTCGGCGTGTATTGGCCATTCTCCTTGCACAAAGCCATTATGTTACCCAGGCTCTTTCATCAAGCCCGTCGCAGTGTTTTGCTTCATCTTACTGTACACTGGGCTTGTTCGGGCACGCAGGGTGTGATTGGCCAAGTCCAGCTGCAGTGCAGGGTGGTGACTCGGTTGCTGTGCTGAGACAAACAGCCTGGTTAATTCTGCGCGGAGGAAAAATATGGCAACAAGCAAAATGATCACGGAGCGCCATGGATCTTGCCTAAAGATTTGCCTGCAAGTCTGCCAGGAGATGGTATAAAGTTTGCTCCCTTGTTTACCAGCAAGTAGACCCGGAAGGGCGTTTCTAATTTGTCATCTTTCGTTATTTGAGAGCAAAGATTTCTGCTTCAAGTGATGGTGACAATGAAGATGGGTATGAGGAGCAGTGCTGGTTCCCACGCCAGTATCCCAGAACATGACTAAGAGCCGATTAAGGGACAATGCCGTTCATGAAATACTGATTTATACGTTTTCCTTAATTCCCCTTCCTAAATCAAACTCATATTCACGGGAACGGCTTACGAGGGTGCGCCACTTCGTGAGGCGACAAATAAGGTGGACCATAAAGGCACTGGAAATAGGACAGGGGGACGGCAGACACAGTTCAGTAGCCCCCGAGAAACAGGGAGCCGAATGTCAGGAATCCCGACGAGCCCAAATCCACAGTTGCCGAGGATGTAAATGAGGAGTACTGTTTGCATAATGACATAGCTTACTGTAGAGGCAAGCTTTGGTCTGTTAATACTGTTTTTGAACTCGTGTGTATTCTGTGATACGGGTCCTTTTGAAATATCAGTACCTGGACCAGTAAAGACAGTGACCCACATTTCTACCCAATAGCCTAGAAACGTCTAAATTTAGCCTGGCATAGTTTAGCTTGACTAAGCTACAGATGGAAATAATTTGGAGCGACTATTTTGAACTGGGTTGTTTTTTTTTTATGCAAATGCTTAAGTCTTCAGATGCCTTTTCAAGTGAACTCGCCAGTGTTTAAGGTCCCGGGAGGAATTACACATCACACATTTAAACAGCTATGCGAGACTAATTGTCGAAGTATTATTATGAAGGTTTGAAATTTGCGTTGGTGTGTTTCTTTTCATGTTGAGTACTGTCTCAAAGTGCTTTAGCCCACAATAGTTCGTTAACAAGCACGCCAGTGCGCAGAGAACGTGCATGTTGTTTTGCTTCGAGGGCAGTCTGTAGCCTCTCCCCAGGACCAGCACACGAAGAAACACCCCCCTCTAGTGGCGCTAAAGAGTTCTGCACCTTCTGAACGTTGTTCATTGTCTTTACAAGGTGCCACACTTACCTTACAAAGCATTGTAGAGCTCTGGTCGTACAGAACAATTGACATTAGAAAGCATAATGTCAGTTATTGTCCTTTTTACCATAACGGATTGAAGGTCTCATGGTACTTATTCTTATAAGGGTGTTTCACAAAAACCCAGAAACACGGACAGTATTGTAATGTATTCCAGTTTGTGTAAGGTAATAATTAGCGCCCACCTTGTTGTACCTTTTTGGGGTTTTGAGGAACTTTGCTATCACTTTCATTTTGATTGCTCGGTCATATTTTTCTTTCTCTCTTCCGGTCTGGTTATGTGTTTGTTTCTCTCTGGGCAGTTCTAGATTCTTGAGGCCGTTACATAGTTCCCAGAATCACCCACTGATTGCAAATGAGCAGTAAACCAATAAAATGGCCATAAAAGATGTAGGAGCACCAACAACAAGGAAGCTGGTTGTTAATATTACAATCTCTTATCTCTCCCAGTCTTGAGGTCTAAGTTGGAGTATTATAACTACACACAGGATTTATACATTTCTTTTTGATTTAACTCCCCTCATAAACTATGGTGTGCCAGACTTAAAGTGCAGTTAATGCCACTCTGTTATGCACAATGGCAGAGGAAATCCGAGAGCTGTGACCCCAGTGATAGAGTTCACATTCTATATGTAATCAAAACGTATTGACTGCGTTAAGTGTTGCACGAATCCATTCTCCGCTTACTCAAGGTGCAACTCGGGTACAAGGTCAAGGTGCAAGGTTGGAGCAGCCCAGAGTCTGTCCAGAAAGAGAAGCACACAGGGAGGGTGCCATGCCATCATCACAGGACACACACGCAGGAACAGTTTCGAGATGCTAGTTAGCCTACATCCCAAAGACAGAGAAAGAGCATGCCAGGTTCTTACCAAAGGAGACCTGGGCCTGAATCAAACCCGAGGCCTACTTTCTCCGAGGCAGGAACTCTGTGACTCCCCGCGTGTACAAGTGTTCTGTTTTTAATGACAAAAAAATATACATTTGTATGTTATAATGTGGGTCTTCATCTGCTGTTAAGCTTGTGTCGGGTGATCTGCTTCTAAAAATGTTGTTCCTGAGACACTTGCAGAAGCTGAGTGGAGAAATATTTCTCCTCGTAAAGGCCTAAATTTAAATATTGTGAGGCGATGGATTGAATGATTGTGGCATCCTGGGCAACTTTATCTCCTCACTAGACCTCCTTCCCCTTATTCTACGAAGAATGGTCTGATTTTCTGTCTTTCTGGAAAGGTTGTTATAGAGGGCAACGCATACATGACCTCAGAAACAATATCATTACGATATACTTCGGGTGCAATAAGTGGGTTTGCTTCGACTCGGCGGTTCTGTTTTTATAATCCTTAAGGGGTTGTGTTAATTTGCTCATTTGGACATGTCAGTCAATCCCAAACAAGGGCCGGTTTATCATATTTCAGCAATTTCCAAAGAGTTCTTTACCTATTAAAGTGAATTACGCGACCGCAATGCATGAAGAATTGCCAATTAAATATTTCCCATAAAACACAAGTGGCAAATAACCATCTTCCTCAGGCTAGAAAGACGGTATGCTTCTCTCCCAGTGTGACTAAAATAAATGATTATTTTAACCCACTCCCATATAATACACCCAGAGACTCACAGAATAAACGGAATAAACATTAATTGATATCTACCGCTTTTAATGAAGAAGCTCCCTGATTGCTGGTCAGACTGAAAAACGCAGTTTCTTTAAATAGATTTTTGTAAGGTGGTTGAGTTGAACTTTGGAAAGGGTGAGTTAGTCTTTTCTCGCTTCTGTAATACGGAGGGGATAGTACACTCACTGGGTAAAGAGCTTCTGCTGTTTTTGTAGAATTTCAGAGAACAAGCACAGGGTTAAGGGATGGACAACCTGTCAAAATCCAGCCTTTATTGAGTTAATGATGGTCTGGGAAGAATTCATGATGGGTGATCATGTCAGTGTACCTCCCCATGAAATCAAATTTAAAAAAGGAAAGAGAATGGGGAATATTAGGTTAAGGTTTCCAGAAAAAAATGTCTCAGCCTATACAGGAAGTGGGTCTTCTGGTCTGGATCGATTGAAGCACCACAGAGGGCCTTATTTGTTTCCTGGAAGTCTGCAGTGTCTTCATGTGACTATTCGAAACTGTGTACGTTTCCCAGTGAAATATAAAGAAAGAGAACTATGTTTTTGCCAGTGGTACCAAGCCACTGTTTAGCATTTACCTTTCTGGGATTAAACTGTAGAAATCGGGACTTGAGACGCTGCGATGTGACCAACCTTGGCGATAGCACCTGGCTGTGCAGCAAAAGCTACTTTCTACTAGAAGGAAATGCTGTCTTGGCTTCAACAAGCTGCTTTGCTGAGGTGAGCTCCCCACCAAACCCTTCTCTTAAGGTCTTTCTAGGATACCAAGATTATCTGGTGACTTTGGTGGCCATCATCTATAGACAGGTAGTTAGAGAACATGTAAGTGTCTTCCATTCTGTAATTAAAATATTCTAGCTAATAATTTGGCAGGGTTACTGTCCTAAAAGCCTTGATTTATGTCTTATGGCAGAATGAGGGGAGGTGATTTTAATTAGTTATCCGATTCTGAGTATTTCCTGGTTGCAAGCCCTTTAGTTTACCATGACTGGCCAAGGAAATGCAGTGCTAGCTTCGTCTTTTCTTGAAAGGGTGGGGAGGAAGGCAGAGCTGAAGAATGCAATGCGCTTCTGAAGGTACAGGAAAAGTCGGTTATGGCCTTTTGGAAAGCCTGTGGAAACGTCTGAGGGATAGGACTCTGATCCCTTAGGGGAAACACGGTGCCAAGCCCCTCAGTCAGATTGATGGGTGGCTCACTGTTCGTTAATGACTAGCGGGTGAGCCGCGCAGGAAGATTAATGTGCTGACTGAAACGAGCTGCTCACCTGTTTCTCCAGGTCACCTGTTGATCACGTCTGGTTTCTATTGCATTCAAATTAACGTCAGGTGGTTAACCTCAATCACTGTGTTCCCTTTTTTGTGTGCGTGCGTGTGTGTGTGGTGGGAGAGCTTCCTTTAATTTCTGAATAATGAATGCGTCCCAATTCTCCGTTTGTTTCCATGCTGTATAGCCAGACCCACTGACCTGTTTAATTCATACCTTGCGAAAAGCTCCAGTCTCTCCGTGGGTAGGAAGGAGGCAGATTGTGTAGCTGATGTGCTGTTTGCACAGTGGATTGGGCTGTTACCTGGCGAGAAGACAGCGGTACCTGGGTGATTTCCTGATTATCGGTCCTGGGAGAATTGCCAGTCCTGTGTGGATGAAACTATGCTTCCTTACAGATTGTTGCTGTAAGTTCCCTGAATCTGCATGTTTGTGATGTTTGTGCTTCAATCTCTGTTAGCGTTTAGGGGTTATAGATTTCCGTATTTTGGATCCGTGAAAGAAATCTCTTGAGTATTTGAATGCACATTAAGAATGTGCATATTCTGTATTAAGTGCATGTTTATGTAGGTCAGGATAAATCTGAAAAAAAAATGTTTAACTTTTCCGCAGCTCATTCCTTTTGTCAGCATTTCAGAACTAGAACAATTTATAAAAATATTTCTAGTTACTATTAAATAATCTAAAAATCTGTTTTTTTTAGCAGGGTACAGAGCCTTATAAATATATACAGGCATGGCTGCAAGAGATATTCGTTTGATATCAGTGAAAGAAATCATAGTACAGCAATGACGATAGTGGGCAGTGAAAACTAGACAAGCACAGTCTGGATTTAGAGCACACCAGTGTGGGTCAAATCAAGAAAAAAAATCAGTCCTGAGAAGGAAAAAAGCATTGGCTGGTTAAACTAGTTTGTAAAAGTGGATTTCTTTCTCTGAAGTCTTTGACAAGTGCTCTCTTTGGCGTTTTTCTAATAATGTGACTACTGCACAGAATACAGTTGTCAGGCATTTGGTAGCTATACTGTATATGCAGAGCTACAGAAACTGACGTGCTTGTTTATCTGACCTAAATGTACAGTATGTCAACAAGGATGTAAAAAACTAAGCCTAAGCAATTCTTTAGAAACAAACAGAAGAATGGAATTCACCTCAGGAGCAGTGTTTGAACTAGTACGTTCTTAGCACAAGCCCTACTAACACAAAAGACTGTGCATTCACACCTGCAGAATGAAGCCCTACATCAGCAGGTACGATTACAGTACATTCACTATGCATTGCCGAATTGAAGAAAGGCTGGAGAATTATTGGAAGGGCAAGACAGCACTTGCATTCCATAAAGTCTTGTGGAATATTTAAGATCACATCTTGGTAATTTTACGAGCTAGGATCTCTTTATGATCTGGTATACAGTATGTGAAAGGGAGTTTTGTGTATTGCAGTCCTGGAAATGCCAGTTGGTTGTTGCTTCCCTCATTTGAAAGCAGCCGTTTAGCTTTGCCACTCTTGCTGATCTGGTGTGCCAAATCGCATCTGGACAAGAACACGGTGGGTAGATGAAAATCTTTTCTTTCTTACAAGGGAGGCCTGTGTTGCGCACACTGACTCCTGTAAGAGTAGTGCTTTCCATCTTGTTTGGCTGTGCATGAGCGCAGAAGGACTGAAATGGTAGCTTCTCAGTCATTCCCCCTTTTCATTCTAGATTGGGCACACTCAGACTGAAGCTACAGTAGGTTAAACCTGATTATATTCAGCATTAAAATAAACTGAATAGGAAAATACAGAAAGAAGAAGTTGAGAAGTCTAGTCTTATCTCTGATCTATGTCTTCCGAAAACCGGGGTTTTCCGTCACTGTGATTTTGATTCTGATGTCCCAGCTACACGTTTGTGTCTGTGTACTGTGGAGTGTTTATATGCTAAAGTGGGGGCAGTTCAGGGCAGGGCTGATGTTGCTATGCCCCATCAGCTGCTCCAACCCTGGGGGACCCATCCTTCTTTGCTAGGCTCATGTTTGCACCGAGGTGACGCTGTAAAATCGATTGGAGCCGGCTCTCTTCGCAGCCAGCCTGCACAGCCGAAAGAGGGTGAAGGAAATAAAGTTTCCACACAGCTATGAGGGAGCTCTGACTCACCCCAGAGAAGGACAAGCCCCAAGACACCCGCAGGCCGTCCCAGGAACAAAAAGGATGCTCTCTTCCTGGTGTTTGGTGATGCTTTGTGAGGAGTTTGTTTTCGCTTAATGTGATTTAGAGTGCAGAAGCCATGTTTGGCGGAAGAAATTAGAAGCAAAATGTGTTGCGTTAATAGTCCAGTCTGGACGAACTGGCAGGTTGAAAGCTGAAATTATGGCTCAAGTTGTCTGTATGTAACACGTAAGCCTGCTGTTGGGACATTGCAGTTATAAGCGCCACTGTAGTGTCTTTGTGTTGGATAACTGATTGTATTGAATACCTGCTCAGAGTGAAAGCAATTGGCTTATCCAGGTGTGGCAACATTGAGTCCAGCTTGAGAATTCTTTAAAAGCAAAACAAATAGAAAAATGCTGTAGTTCTGTTGAATGTCCAGAATGGGCAGTGAACACCAAGGATATGGACACCACTGTAAGACCACGGCATACTGTACACAACACACTCTCCCAGCACTAATCGGTGGAGAGCAGAGAAAACAGATTGGTCTTTCCTTTCCTTGGTCTTTTGATTTCAAGTCACTTTCCCTCTTTTAGCACTGGGGAACCATAACCAGGTAGAAGCTGTTACTGTAGACATTTCTTAGAAAGCAAAACTTGTCCCATCTTCTCGTTTCTTCATGTGACCTGTAGATTGTGCCTAGAGTCATTTTTAAAGAGGATCCAGGAATTCCAGTGACAATGAGAGATCATGTTTGTAGAAGTACATTTACCCCCAGCGTAACAATCCGAACGGATCTTGCCTAAGATTTTGTTCAAATTGTTGTGCACTAAAACATCTCTCTAAAACATTGCGAGATTTTTTGGGCATCTGAATGAATGATCTGCCCTTTTAATGTACTGCGTTTTGAGCTGATGTTAATTCTTAATTAAGCTCACCTCTGTGGTCCCTGATGCACAAGAAGAGGGCTTTAATTGTTCACATCTCCATCAATCACCTCTCTTCCCATTTTTAATCAGCGACATGCAGAAGGAGTATCTCGTTTCCCCTGCTTCTGCACAAAATTATATTTATGAGATTGATGAATTTAACCTGGGGGGGGGGGTGGCGCCGTCTCCAGACAGATTCTCCTTTGTAAATGACAACAGATGCTTCATCTCATGAGCAATAAGAGTAAAACATGACTTGTCTCCGCTATGATGCTTGCGAGCGCAGTTAAATAATGAACAGAGAAAGTGTCTTTATTATCCCCAAAGGGCAATTTGTTTTACAGCTGCAGACAATATGAAGAAAACTCTCAAACAAACAATACGCATAAAGATGAGCAGAAGAATTGACTTGAGCAAAGTTGTGGCCATACAGTAGGTAGAAATGAGAACTTGAAGCTGTTTGTTTTTAAATGGGGAAATCTGTATCTGTATTCTTAGTGGAGTCATTGGAATTCATTAAAGGAGAATTGCACTCCCAACTTTTCATAGTGGTTATTAAGGATTGCGATATGATGTGGCCCTTCCTGCTCGCTAGTCACTGTAATGACTAACGCAATGTGGTGAATGAGTTAATAAGTACAGAAGTGTGTGCAGCAGTCATTTCACCTCAAAAAGGTTCCAAAATGATCTGCGTTCAGAGTTAACAAGCCAGTTCCATTTATTGGCAAAACCATCTTGAAGTTGAGAGCAACATTTCTATCTGATAAAAAGAGATGTATTCATGAGCCTACTTGTTTGCAGTGTCACGGGGCTGCATCACGTCACTGGAAGGTTTGTTGCCTTGTTGTGAATTGCAGAACGTGGCCCTGCGTACATACCTGGAAGTGTCATCTATTTGGGGATGTGAATTGGAGGTCTTTCGAGTTACTGTATAGATTTTAGTTTTATTGTGGTTTGAAATGAAATTCGAACCCCCGACTCTAAAAATAGCGTTGCAGGTCCCCTTTAACTACAGAGCGTGAAGGGTACTCTGGGAAGGAATATTCTTTTACTCAAGAATTATAGATTGCTAGACGTGGGATAGGAGCAAAAGATCAGCACCGATGAGTTTCGGACATAGTTCACCACCATAGTTCTCGGATTCGCAAACTGGCGGATCGGGGCAGACGTTTTGTTCTGTAAGGCACATTGATCAGGGAGGAAAGACCCCAGAATGGAGGATGGAGGGGGAAGGGGAAACCTGACGCAGGGGACAGAAAGATGAGGAAGTTAAACCCGTAGGGGAATTCTTCTTGTGATGTTGAACTGAGCACGTCGCAATTGTGGGGGAAATTGAATCATGTACTGTTTCACTGACACATTAGGGTTTACATGCCTTTATACAAATTCTACTAATGAAACAAAATAGTACTGTATATAGTATACTATTTATTCATATCTATGCACACTTTGGCACGGTTAAGCAACAATCCTGAATTATCCAGCTCCTTGTTTCTCTAATTTGCTCTCCCCGTCTTAGATCTGTTACCTCTGATTCGAGAAAGGTCTCTAAATGCAATATCTGTTAAGATGGATCCTTTCCTATCCTTAAGGCAGCAGGATTATAACTTGCTGCCTGGCGCCCGCCATCTCTCCTCATTATTCTCCTCACGGCTCGTCTTCTCGGGCTTGCACAGCTGGCTTCGTGTCCGCATTAGGCTCAGCGCGAGTCGTCCCGGCTCTCTGCTTCAGAAGGCAATGCCTGCTCCTGCAGTTGGGTGTCTGTTTATGATGCAGGGCAGCCTCAGACGCCACGCTAAGTCAGCGCCAGAGCTCGGGGCTGTCAGGGCGTCGGTACAGGAATGGAATGCATGCAGGTGCAAAGAGCTGAAGGACGTTTCTGAGAATTCGCAAATGCTGTGCTAATAAGCCTCTTTTTGTGAATCCAAATGCTCTTTTTAAACCTGATTTGTCACAGTGTTGGGCATTTCCTCCAGTTTTGTGGCAGGGGTTTCAATGAAACAGTTGAGCATTGCCCGTGTTAAGCTGCATGTTTGGATTGATGGCTAATTTCTTCTAAATGCTAATTGAATTTCTACTCATGTCAGCTTTTTGGAAGCGGCCCGTGTGGACCAGAAGTGACATAAACAGAAATGGAAACGGGGAAAAAGAAATGTAATCTCTTACACAGAGTAAAATCAGACACCAATTATGTAGATTAAAAGAAAATCCAGACTCAGTTTCTTATGAGCTTGGTTGTCTGCATTGCAAGGCATATGTTCTCGTTTTAAGTTGTATGCTAAAACTAAATCTGATGGAGCTTCTGTACTGTTTTAGTGCTGCTAGCTTGATACCAAGCTCCATTTACCTAAATAGTGGCAAGACTAAGCTCCGTCAAATCGCCTCGCAACCATTTCAGCATGAAGCTTATCATTCGGATGCTCCCAGCATTGGTGCTTCGCTTGAAGTTAGATATTTTGCTGTTACTTGTGACTCTGAGCTCATGTCAGAGATGTCAGGAGGGTACCATTCTTCGTTTTCTGCCCTGTTTTGTTTTCTTTTGTCTGCATCTGAGGTTGCAAAATTAAAACAGGCATTTAGTTCATCCTGAAGACACCGCTGCCACACGTGCTTGAAAGGGATTTCTTCTACTGTCTTAAGCAAGTTCCAGTCCTGTTGAGCTCTGAGTATATGTCTATAATGTCTATAATAATGCCAAAAATGTCTATAATTGAGCACCAACATCTAGTACAGTCAAATACTGAGTTTTGCTCCTTACTTTTAAGACTTTCAGTGGTTTAGTTCTAAATTACCTTAAGGATTTACACCCCTGCTCTATCCCTGTACTACTGAAAATCAGGCCATGCTGTATGGTTTTGCTTATGGACACAGGGTTCTGGTAGGACAGCCCTGCGACTATGTTGCCCAGTATGATTAGAGGTGTGGGGATGTTTTTAATTCTCTGATCAGTTTCATCTCCTGACTAAAACGTTGTTTTAGGTTTATGCTTAATTGCCTTTCCCTGTTTCGTCTTTGAGTCTGGGGGAAAAAAGCACGTTATTAATAAAAACATACAAATCACGCCAAAGCACAGAGCCGTTAGGTTCCCAGGGATTTTGTAATCCTTTTTATTTTGTGTGCTTCTTGCGCAGAGATTTGTAGTTTAAGCCTCTGTGCAGCGTCATGCCAATTTATTACCTTTCAAGTGGCTGTTCGATAGAGCCAGATAAATCCCAGCGCATACAATACTGCTCTGTTAATCCGTCCTGATTGAGGGTTTGTCATACGGTGGAACATGTGAATGCTGGCTGGGATATCAGCAGCAGCTGCATGTGCAGGGCCTTGGGCATGGAGCTGAAAGATGAGCAGGGGGAGACGGGCGAAGCTGAAGAAGCAGAACAGCCAGGAGCTCCACTTGGGAGTAATAATAATAATAATAATAATAATAATAATAATAATAATAATAATTGCTTACACTTATATAGCGCTTTTCTGGACACTCCACTCAAAGCGCTTTACAGGTAATGGGGACTCACCTCCACCACCACCAATGTGCAGCATCCACCTGGCAGGGTGATCTTTCACAAGGGTGCGATCTAAGGTTGCCTGGCTCTTGGGTGGGTCAAGCAGTTGCACTGGCAGGTTCTTACACAAGCTCTGTGCTGGCAGTACTTGCCCCAATACTTCTGCTGTGAGTAACAGGCACATCTTTGGTAGGATGTCAACAGCCCTTTGGGTGAAAGAAGCAGCTCCAGTGCAGTAAATGGATTAAAATGAAAACTCGATGAGATAATTGGACATGTAGGTAGGGCTACCTGCCATTCAGAAGCAGATGTGACTGTGTTTGTTAGTGTTAAGCCATAGCGCAACATCATTTAGATAGATAGATAAGACTGTATTGATCCCGAAGGGAAATTGATGTGTTACAGCAGTCCAGCCCAAGACACGCAAAAAAAAACAAGAAACAGACATCAGAATAGTCTAAAAATTAGAATACGTGCAGTAATACAAAATAAATACATAAAAATCAATACATATGTGTGTGCTAAATATGATCATATTCACTGTAAAAACAATACAAAATGTGCAACATGTGCATAGGCATGGGTATATACAGATTGAGTGTCCAAAAAAGTACAATGGAGCAACATGCTGTCCATAGACGAGCAAATGAAGGGCTGACAGTCCTAGCCTTAAGCTTAAGCCTTATTTAGGCTGTTTATTTTGATTTACAGCGGAGATTAAACCCAATGGCTGCTGTTGTTTCACCGCACTGTCTAGGACACATAACACAATGTACATGCAAATCATTATGAATGAATAAAGGCTTTTGTTTTGTACCAAGTCAAGGATAAGGTTAAGGTTATCAGAAGGAGGTTGATTGAATCACTTTGGATTTGTTATAACTCCTGCCAGAGCTCCGTAGGTGCTGAAATCTGACATTTGCTAGACTTGTCCATTTAATGTACAGAGCAGCTTTCAGTAACACAATGACACGTGTGACCTTTCTCAGTTGAGGTCAGTTCAGTGATATAAACACAGGTTTACTGCAAGGTATTCTCTTGTGGACAGCATCCAGCATTCTGAACAGGGAGAACATGACATGGATAAAATAAAGGACACAGGCCCTGGTCCAGTATGTGAAACTGGTGTCTCATGTTGACACATTATTTCCATCTTAAATTACGTATCATTTACAGCTGCCCAGCAATGATGTTGAAGCAGGTACCCTGGCTTCTTTCAAGCAATGGCTGGATGATCAAATTAACTACCTTCTCTTTTTTGTAACAGTGTTCTATGTTTTTAAACCTCTGTTTTTACGGTGATGAGCCTTGAACTCAATGGCTGATTTTTGCCATGAAATGGGCAATTTCTGAGCATTTCTTTCGGTTCTGTCTCTTCTTTTGTAAAATGCGGAATCTGGTTCTATTAAGCAGGCAGACATCGTAGAATTAAAGAAAATGGAAAAAAAAACTTAATCAGAACCTAGATTCAGCCCTGGTGAACTGTCTGTTGACTGAGGTCTAATAAGACACCCATCATTTATCGCAATGGAATATGTTTGATGCTGCCTTAAAGCTCAGTACACTGCATGGCCTGTGTTCATCCCAAACCCTGGAGGTATGCTTATACACTCTGATAGCCGTAGAATCGTAGTGCAAACCTTTAAGATGTGGAAATAATCAGTCTGTAGTCTTGAGCTTTAGGATGTGTGCAAAATCAAAGCAAAAAAAGGATTCTAGTATAAGTCTTACAAAAGCGAATCTGTTTTTAAGTCCTTTTCGGGAAGTGTGCAAAGTGATGTATCCATTCTCTGCATCTGGAAATTATTCCCAGATATCCTTATTAATCCCTTTCCAGTATTCTGTCATTGGCTGATGTCTTTTGCTAACACTAAAGGCTGGGAATCGAGTAGGGAGGTGTTCACTGGGTCTCATTTGTCAGTCTCGGATTGTCCCAGTGAAAAAGCTCAAAAGTGCTTTCATCCACCTTAATAGCAAGAAGAAATGTCGCCACCTTGGTCACTTTTTTCTGCTGCTGGGAGTGATTTGAAACACCCTTAACAAATCGAGTGGGAAATATGGGAAGGAATTAAAAATCCTTGGCTTAAAATGTGTTAAATTCCTGGTGGGCAAGGATGGGCTGCAGATGGCCCAGAGTTCTCTGGCGTTCTGGACATGAGGTGTTTGACGGCTCATCGATAGTTGTCCGTCCTCTGCTTGACTGCTCAGGAAGGGTTTATTGCATACAGCTTCCCTTGTAATATGGCAAAATTTGCTTTTCATTTGAGATTTGCTCTTACATATGAAGAAAACCCTCCACTGCCTTTACTTAGATATTGCTGAGCTGACCGGTGTTCTCAAAATGTAGCTGGAAGGACTTTCCCCTTTGGGACTCTTGTGTCGTGGTGGAGCAGCACCATCGCATAGCCAGACCAAAAAGATCTTAATGGCTGTATCTCCACAGAGAAACATGTGTGTCTCTCTCTTGAATTTATTGCAGTTTGACACCGTGAGTTAATTTTGAAAGTCTGCCCTGTGAACGTTTAATCTTTGTCCTGACAAGTCTTCTCATGCTATTTTAGTTTAAAACGGAGGTATCTTTACAAGGAGGGGAGTGTGGCATGGCTTGTAACAAACCAAAAAAGTACAAGTACTGGTTATAACAAGTCATTTCAGTCTTTGAATAAATGGAATATCATGGTGAGTTCTCTGTAAAGGACAACGCATTAAGCAAATTGAGAAATAATCGTTGTTTGAGTAGAAGATTTTGGGGAAAAAAAACAGGGAAGGGTCATCTTGTCTTGAGGAAAACATGTATCTTGTGTAATCCTGTCAGTTTCCTCGGGAAATGAAGGTTAAATCGTGAGGTGCCTGTGAAAAGACTGTAAAATGTCACACAGGTGACCAGATGACCTTATACCAGTCCACCACAAGAAAGAGCAGGGGTCAGAAGTACAAATGATGTGGGACATGTACAGTAATAGCATGTCCTAGGGGATGTGTGTCACCTCTTGAATCGGCACTGGTGAGGAACTGCAAAGAGTTTTGCACACGTCCGAATGGTGATTCTCTTTTGGGGGTGGGAGTTAAAAAAAAAGAAACTGTCATTTTCCATGTAAAAACAAAAAAACTTAAACCCACAACAATCTCGGACCGAGATCAGCACTGTTTGCTGGAGCACGTGGGAGCAGAGCATCTAAAGGGTCTGAGCTCTGAGCTCTGGTTGAAAATCCATTTGCAGCTGGAGCTCAATCAGGAAAGCCAGGGAACGAGCAGAGAGAGGTTGGTCCTGCTACCCTTTTCCTTGAAACAGATAACAACCGTCAGATGAGCCTTTATTTATATAACCTTTCCTGGAATTCTGCCTTGTGATGAAGTGCTATGTCCCTGAGAACTGAAGATCTACAACTCGTGGCCCTCACTAGGCACTAAATACCTCATTGTGTGCACTGCACCCATGGGCTGTACAAACAAATTGATAGGAAGATTGTTTTCTTCCTTTTAAGTTGTCCTGATGTGCTGCTTATGACCCCCAACATCGGGAGCTGGCGAAAGCTTTAGTTTGATCTTTGTTTTTCCAGACACTGGGATGGGAGTGCTGTGAAGAAACGGCCCACTCGAAGACTGGGTAGGTCCTGGTCGAACCCTGGACCGGAGCGCCAGGTGGGAAGCGAGGAATCCGATGGAGCCAGCATGGACATCCTAATAGGGTAGGACCTTCTTGACTTGTTGACCGAAAAGCAGTCAATTTCTATGTACCTCTAGATTGTTGGAAGCAATACCAAGGCTCTTTTCAGGAAATGCCTGGTTGACATCCTCCTTAATAACCAGCTACCGAATGACTGGCTTCCTCCTGTTTGTAATTGTTCTTCATTCTTGACTGCAAATCACATTCCTCAGTGATAAGTCTTATTGGCTAGCATAATGGGTACATCTGTACCTGCCCTTGCTGAGTGTATATAGAGTTTTCCAGGGAAAATGTCTTCTTTTTCTTTCACATGGAAAGTGCACAGTTAATCTAAGGACACATCTACAACACTGAGAGCAGATCGTGTACCATTTTCTTCTTTAATGTGGTTTCACAGGCTGTTTTCGTGGGTGTTTCACAACATGGTTACACCAGCCCCTAAGGATATCTGGGTTAAGAATAAATCCGCTCCATTAGTACAGCAGTAGAGGAACTGGTTAGGGAGGTGGTGGGGCATTGAAGGAATGGACTGGCAGGTACCAGGTAGTGTAACCATCCTTTGTTTGATGTCCAGCTGAAAGCTGCTCTATGGGAACATCAGTGGAATGATATCTAGACACACTTAAAATAAGTATGAAGCTGTTAAATAGGGTGGAGTTTCACTTTGCCAAAATAAGCACATGAAGGCGTCGTACTGCATTATAAAAAAAGAACAGTCGATCCGCTCCTCTGCACACTTGTGCTCCAAGATCCGTACTTATTGGTGGATGATGAACGGGGTGGAAGTAACGGCGGAGCAGTGGGTTGTGTTATCGGGAGTGTGGAAGTGGAGAGGATTGGGTGTGCAGCAGATTGAGTAACTCGGCTGCGGAGGTTAAAAACTGCAAACTGCGGGAACTGTCATTGTTACCTGCTATACCAGTGGCAGCAGTGTCTGCCAGAACCCTCAGAGGAGATTACAGATTGGTCCTGATTCAGCCACTAAGCCCATTAGTAAATGTGATCTTCTTTGTGGAATGTATAGTGTATATATATAGTGTACGTTCTGTATATATACAGCAGATTTGATCCATGATCACAGGACCACTTCTTCGCCTTAAGACTCAAGGCAACCTGAAATCTGCCGGTAGCCTGGACAGGGGATGTTGGTCCATTGCAGGGCATACACACATGCACACAAAGGGACAATTCAGAGATGCTGCTTAGCCTAGCCAGAATGTCTTTAGGCTTAGGAAGGAAATAGGAACATCTTGTGAAAGTTCATGCAAACTCACAAGGTGAAGACACCACAGTTCAGAACCGAAATCAGGCCCTGGGGTCTTGACTCCATGTAACATGTACTGTTTCTGCTTGAGCCTTACTGCAGAAAAGTGACGTTGGTTTTCGTGTTAATCTTGGAGCTCCGTCTCGGCTCAGTTTCCAGAAAGTTAGGCTAACTCGCAAGAAAGGTGCTTTCCCTGCCTTTCCAGTCACAAGCTGCTTGGTTTTTAATGTTCGTTCAAGTTAAATACAGTAGATCCAAGACGTTTCATTGCTATTAAGATCCTGTTTTTAGCCTCTCGCTGGAATCGAACTCTAATTAAACTTTTATTATGATTACTTGTGGCTGGCATGTCATCCTATCAGTTTGCAGGCACAGCTCAAAACATAGGCATGTGCTGTCCATACAGTACACACAAACATGCACGCTATTTAAGCCTTTTGTGTGATCATCAGTACGGATTGACAGTGACTTTAATTGCATATTCACCCAATTTAGACTGTTTTAGTTTTTTCTGTGTGTCTCAGCTCACAGCCGTGATGCTGCAGACCAACAGGAGTTCCTGGTATAATTAAAACGTTTACCTTTTATTAAGACCTGCAAAAAGTTAGATTGATTTAATTAAGCAATTAAAACAATATGGATACAGGAAGTCTTTAAGACCCTACAAGCCAACCACCCATGCTGTACATTTCCGAGCTCCTATTGCCTTAAGTTGTGAACTAACGGCTACAGCATTACTTCCAAAAGTGCCTGACGTTTTCTCTCATCAAGAGAAGGAGCACAAGGAAATTCAGTCTCTTGGATAGAGTAGACATTGAGGACTGAGGATTAAAAGCTCTTTCCTAATGACTCTTGCTTGCCCTAATGCCCCTAACAGGTCTAGATACCAGTTTATTGAGTTGATTAATGAGATAAATGATCAATAACTTAACTCCTACAACGTTTGTATAATAAAGAGCAGAAGTTCTTCTTTCCAGAAGCACATCTTTTCCTTCTACTTTAGACCATAGAAATACTCTCATTTCTGAAATCCCTGTGAGAACAGGAATAATAATATCCTTTCTTTACATTCATGACCTGTTACTTAAATATTGACCATTAAAGCTTTGCTATGGGTGCTTTGTCACAACCACTTTAATAAAAAGAGCTTTCCTTGACAGTGAGACCTACAACACTCCATTTCCAATTGCGTTGTGGAATAATAAAATAGTTTTGTCAGCTGGATACCTCCTTCAAACATAACATTTACAAAGGAAAGTAAAAAGCCCTGTCATAACAGATAACACAAACTGCCAATTTAGCACAGAAGCTCATTTTACTCTGAGCCATGTTGGAGTTCTCAGACAGGGAGTGATTAGTGATTATATCTTCTGAAAAACTGCTGGTCCTTGACCGATCACTGTTCAGATAAGACTTTATGAAGCACTATTAAATATGGTTGAAGGCCTTGTTTCAGAGAGTGGGATTTTCATAGCTGGCAGGGCCTTATTCCATGGGTAGCTGTGTGTGACCAGATTTAGTTTTAAGTTGTGTCTTTCTAGAAAAATGCCCTACAGTTCCCGTCTTATCTTTCTGTTTCCCACTTTATTTTTTCTTCTGGTGTATTTATTGCTTTCTTTCTACGGCATCAAGTGCCAAATGATGTTCCTCCTAATACTGGACCGTTTGTCTTTGCAGTGTAACTGTTTGCTTGGGCTGCTGTCTTTCTTCTATCTTTTTTAGGACATGTGACTGAGGTCAAAGTTCATAATTTTGTCAGACCAATGTTGGAAGAATGAAGTTTTACACTTGCCGTTTGCCCGTTTGTCCAGTGTGTGATAGATTTTTACTGTACTGACTTCTGAATATATAGTTCGGGCTCAAATAAAGTAAAAGTGACGTGCCTAGTGGGCGGTGACTTCAGCAAACACAGTCGAGGTTTTAACTTGTTCTCCATCCTCTGTGGAGGTCCCTAAAAATTGGTCTGTGCTCTTGTCGATCTTTTTTTTTTTCCTAAAGACAAAAGTAAAGTTGATATGGCTCAAAAGAGATGATCTTCTTGTAATGATAATGTTCTTGAAAACTAAGAGGAGATTGTTTTCTGAGGCTAAGTCATAGAAAAGTGTTGCGAATGCCCAGCAAGCAACGGGCGCAAGGCTGAGTACACCCTGGATGGGATGCCAGTCCATCACAGGGCAGACAGACACACAGTCACTCATACCAGAGCCAATATACCCACAACTAATTAACCTACCAACCTCGGACTGTGGGAGGAAACCTACAGGAACATGGGAAGGACACAAAAACTCCACACTCCAGGCAGATAGCACCCCAGGTGCAGAACTGAACCCAGAGCCCCAGTGCTGCAAGGCTAACCACTGTCCCACCCCTGGTGAAGACGCAGAGTGTTGGGTTAAATTAGAATCCTATTACCCTGTAATCACGCTACCAGGTATTATGGCGCCTCTGTATTAGCCTTGAGCTGACACAAGATGGAGCTGTTGCCTTACAGTGTCTCTCTATCCTGCAGTGCTTTTACAGACCCTGCTATACGGTTCACTAAAGATTCAGTAAGTCAATTATATTTCTGTGAATTTACTTTTGTTCACCCCCAGGAGGGCTAATTTTTGTAAACATGCATATTTATCAAGCAAGCCGCGTGATTTCCGTAATTGCAGCCGATTGTCACCAGATCATCTGTCATACCCCCCACAGAAGACACAGCCAGATTTTAACAGGCTTAACATTATGGTACAGTAAGACTAAGAGCCAGCCACGTCAGTAATGGCCTTGTAGAAATATTTAGTATTACCCGATCTTTGCCAGATGGAAATTGATTGCAGTTTGAACAGTCTTTTGTGTTCTGAAGCTTTCGTTTCCTTGTCTGAGAGTGACAACAGTCTAAATCCCTTTCTCATCGGTTTCCACAGATATACTATGTGTTAGAGCAGAGGCCAAGGAGGTATACTTGGGAAAACCTTCTAGGTACAGCCAGTTCAACAGCTTTCTCTTGTCTTTTACCCTGCAGTGAAATCCAACAGCCACTTCAAGGCATTCAGATGCAATAATCGCAGCACAGAGAAGAACATTCTTTTGCTTAGGGTCTGTATATCTAGGAAGTCAGTCTTCATTATTTAAATATTTCAAATGCATCGCAGGAAGTGGCCAAGTGTTGATCGCCCTATAGTCAAGAAATTTCTGTTTTGGGCCAGGCTTGGGTCGCTGCGCTGCTGTGACATCCAGTCATAGCACTGCAATTTTGGGTGTGAGTCAGCCATCTTGTCCCCCGTCTCCCACTCACCCATCTACCAGTTGCCTGTGAGCTCACTGCCTTAAAAGCGACAAGTGCCCAGAGGAGACATTATCACTCCTGTGGTAAGGCACTGTGGAGGCCAGGGGTAAATTCCTCAGTGAAATTTAACGGGGAATTTCAAACTGTCCCAATTTCTCAGACCAGTTCTTAAATCTCTGTAACGAAATACATTCATTGGCGGTATAGAACAATTTTACACATTTTCTAATGAAGCACAATATCAGGAACTTTGTGAAAGTATTGTAAGGCGGCACATTGTTGCAAACCCCTGATCTCGCCACGAGTGAGAACAAGAGTTCCCAATGAATTGGAACACAAAGCGGCCCTTCCTGCTCACTAGTCACTGTAACGACTAATGTACGGGGATGTTCAAGTGAATTAAGTACAGGTTGCAGGGCAGATATTTCACTGCAGAAATGATCCAGCGTGATCTGCATGCTAAGTTGACAACTAAGTAGTATTTGTC